GACTCAAGATGTTTGGTATATGACGTGATGAGAGTGAGTCACATGTATGACACAGGGTGGCTAGATCCCTGCCTGAATAGCTTGCAGGTTTTTCTCATTTCTAAAGATATATATTTATGAAGGACTTTACTGGGTACACCTTAATGATATGTAGCTCTTCGTTGAACACCCTTTTGAATTCAGAACTGCCTTAATTCTTCATGGCATAGATGAAGAATTAAGAAGTGCTGGAAACATTCCTACTTTGGGCACTAAAGAGGGAAAAGTTGTGCCAATAAAATATCCCCCACCCTTTACACCACCACCTGAGGCCTGAAGCATTGATACAAGGCAGGATGGATCCATGCTTTTATGTTGTTCACACCAGTTCTGACCCTACCAGCCCAATGATGCAGAAGATATTGAGATTCGTCAGACCAGTTTTCTGTTGTCCAGATTTAGTGAGCCCACATCAACACTAGCAGTAGTTTCCTGACAGGAGAGACACCCAGTTTGGTCTTCTATTGCTGTAGCGCTTCTCTTTAAAGGTTCAACCTGTTAAGCATTCGTAGATGCACTTCTACATATCTTGTTTGTAATGAGGGGTTATTTAAGCGTCTGTTGCCTTCCTACCAGTTAAAGGCAGTCTGAACATTCTCCTATTGCCACAACAAAGCATTTTCACCCAGAGAACTGCCGCTCACTGGATATATTCTCTTTTTTGGAGCATTCTCTGCAAACACTGGTGACGATTGTGAGAAGATATCCCAGCAGTTTCTCAAATACAAACAGTTGAATAGGTGTACCTAATGAAGTGGCAGGTGAGTGGAAACGAACAGTTAACTAATAAACAAACAATTGACAGAAATCCAGTCAATTTAATGAAAAACATGCAACATGTAAATATGTGGATTAGCTGTTTGTTACTGTTTTCTATTAAGTCACATGGTAAATGGAACATGTTTTGCACTCCTGGCTCGGAAATCAATCAGTGTGATTTGCGATTTTATGACATTTCATTTTAAACGGCGACCTACATATCATTCATTAAATGGAAGTAATTAGATGTATATTAATGATGTTTCCTGCACCAGCATGCATAATACTGGCACATTCAGAGAGGCACTCCCCTCCTGGAAAGTCTGCAGAAATCATTTTGTTTGGAATCTACAAAGATAATTTTCTTTCACTATTTGTGAACTCATGTATGTTATTTAATGTTACACATCAGCTAGCGTGGTTTGCATTGGCTTCCCGCAGTGTACATCCACTGCTGACAAATTGCTTTAGTTGCTGGTGTGCTCAGTCGTGACGTGGTGCAATATGAGCAAAAACCCCAGTGCTGTTACTTGCGTTGATTGTTGCTGGAAACCTGACTGATTCAAACCATGTTGGTAGTGAATCAACAACCACATCCTCTGAAGCAAGCGGAGGATTTAGTTTTTTTTGTCTCCCCACTTTTTTTGTTTATGAATTACAGTTTGCCACCAGTGATATATGGCACTGATTTTTCATTCAATTTTGTAAATAGCTTGTAGCTTTTTGGTCATTATTTTCTCAGCAAGCCTAAGTTAAAAAGTCATTAAGGAGGTAATGACTAAACGTGTACGCAGGGCATAAAAAAATACCAGAAAGAGAAGGCGTATAATGCCAATAAAGTTCTGTCACTGGTAGCGATGACGTGGGAACCAACCATTAGTGAAGCTGGGACACAGAGATAGGCTAATCTTAAACTTTTAGGAGCAAATACCAATGGAGGCCAAGGATACTGTTGACTTGGATATGACAGAATGGGGAATATACAAAAGGGTTACAGACACAAGCAGATCCTAGAATATCCACTGGCTTTGTACAAGGGCCGGGATTAAAGTTGAAGTTAACATTTTTTCCTGAATGTACTTATTTTAAAAAATGCAAATAGGGTGCTCTTGAAAAACTAAAATACCAGCTGGCTCTTGTAGACCCTTACAGTAAATGTCAATAAAGAGCTAATAAGAAATCAATCAGGGAAGAGATGGAGAACACAACAAACAATGACAGTGAATGTGTGGAAAGGCTGATTAGACTTTTGTTGCCGTGTGAATTCTGTAGCACGGTGCCACACCACTTGCCACCTATCATTAATATGCACTGTGGTGTTACGTGACAAAAGGCCATAGTCGAGGCAATTTCATTTCCTAAGCAAGGCCTCTGAGGAGTTCATTTCTAATGCCCTCCAACCACAGCTCCGTCTAAATTGCATTTGGAGAGAGGAAACGCTGTGTGATTGAGGGGTGGAGGACAAAAAAAACCAACCTTTTTTCGACTGGCCACCAGTTAAAAGGCAGAAATGACACAACGACACCGATATATAAAATTTCATGAATACATGATTCCCTCTGTAGTGTGTTCTCAGTCTCTGAAAGCCATGGCTCAATCTTTCACTGCGATGGAGGAGATTGCCTTGCCTCTGGCTCCAGTCGAAGGAGCTAGGAACAAGTGCTTTACAGCGTTGGCTCCACTTGTTGCATTTTCACTAATAAGACACGCCACTCACACGGTTATTGAATGCTGTTGCTGATGTAGACTGATGAAATGAAATTAAGTTTGTGGTTTTCCTTTGAGGAGCAGCTGAGACAGATTGTCTCGTGGCAAACCTCAGAATGAGCTGTCTGTGAGGATTAATCTGGATTTCATTTCAGTAGATGCTGTGTCAAAAAAAAAAGAAAAGAAAAATGCTTGTTCTAATTTTTCATTTCTGTATATTTAGCCTGGTTAGCTTAGCATAAACTAAACAAGCACGTTGGAGTTTAGCTTTCCGTAAATTTAGAGGAAAACGGCTAGCCAGTCAAAGACTTCAATTTGAAGTCTCCACTTCTGTTGTGCAGGTAGTTTTGGTCTGTCAACGGTGATAATCCGCCGCTGGCACCACAACCTAACTGAGGGATGGACAATGGAGTCCAGTCCTGGCCAAAATCATATTCCCATTTTAAAAGCACCTGCTCCTGTTGTCAAATGACATGTGATGTGTTATTGTAAAGTCAGAATGCTACCGGTCATGTCTTCCTATTAACAGCCCAGATATGAAAGTATTAAAGTGTCCATACTGGAATAAGTTACAGTTTATTTTTTTCATAGTTTTTTCATAATTTATGGACAGTAAATTACTCAGTTTCTTACTCATTGTTGCAGCAAGGGCCAGATGTGATCTCCTTAAAGTGACTTTTAGTTATAATATTGTTATTTTTCTCTGAGTTATTGATTCTGTCACTCGTTAGCTAACATAAGCTAATGTGGGTCTATTAGCCGCAACTTACCAACCACATGACATAACGGTCCGCACTGGCAGAAAGATGGTGCTAAACTTGTTTTTAAAACTTTAACTTCAAGCACTTATTTTTTAAATCCAGCTTCAATACAGTATTATATCTATGTCAGCTTTTAGAGCAGGGCTCCATGATCTAAATTAGCCTTTACATGTGTAGCGTCTGAAAAGAAAGTAGTACTCGTTTTTTTTTCTTTCCTGTTCGTTACTGTGGGCAGTATATCTATCGAGCAGTTTGTCAAAAAACCCTGATACTCTGGTACTAATTGATACTAAAAAATACTGCATTAGATACTCATTTGCAGGAATACTGATACCAAGTCTTCACCTCCTTCAGCTGACGCACAACTTCACACTGCTCTACAGCACACAGCCTCTCCTCTCCACTACTAGCAGCTATACACATAAACAGCAGCACTGTAAACCTGGTGAATCAGTCTTCATGAAAATTTGCATAAGGTCATTAAAGTTCCTGTTTTAATAGCATTGAAATATTAAACAGTTATCATAAATGTTAACCTTGTCAGCACAATGGTGAACATTAGTTTAGCTATTAGCAATTACCCGCATTAGCCTTCTGTTATCATTACGGTAGCAGCTGTGGCTAATAACAAAAAGCTTACTTTAATTTTAGATCTAGACAACAAATGATATCAATCCTGCTCATTTATAGACAGACATAACACAATTCTTTGTGTCTTTGAAGCAAGTCAAAGTGTGTCAAAATCCCTGGTTGCAGTTGAGAAAAGTGTACAGGAAACCAGAAAGCAGAAAAATAAGGGGGAAAAGGTTTTCTTAATTTTGTCTTTTTCCCCTCTGGTATTGAAAATGATATAGAGTATGTTCCTGCATATCAGTATCAAGTTTGAAATACTGGTATAGTGACAACCCCTATAGCTACGCCCTTCTCAGCACTCCTGTAAGTGTGACTTAAATCAAAACAATCCTGCTAATGCAGAGGATACATGGCTTAAGAGCAGCAACACTATTAGTGAGACGTCTCTATACTGTGTGTTGTGCTTTATACAGTTTAAAGAAGCCTTTGCCAGCTCAGATGGTAGCAAAGGAGTGCCAAAGTAAAGGAAGCCAGTGCAATCGATATTATTTAATTAAATAGATATGGTGATTAAACAAAGTAATATATCACTTGTGCAGCAGATGAGCCACTTTGTTTGTAGCACAGGTCAAGAGAAAAAGCTAGCTCTTGTTAAGCCATCAAAAGCAAACTCATCGAAACCTTTATGTTTGTGCAGTTTTACAGCATGTTGCAGTACACAGGTTTTCTGGCACTTACACAACAAGAAGTGACAAATGAAGTGTTAAATAGGAATGAGAATTCTGGTAATTACATCCTTTTGCAATCTGTCTGCTTTGCTTGGCCACAACACTTGATGGATGATACGTAATCATTGCTCTGTGATAGGACATTGTTCAGTCACTTGAGAACGACAAATGGGAGACTTAATTTAAATGGTCTATGAATTGTCCTTTGTTCCCTTTTAACTTGAGATGTTTTTTGGCACTCTAATTTGGCAATTAGTGAGCTACATTTTAATATGCATTTATATGGAAACTTCTGTAATCGCAGCTTTTAGCTTTTATATTTTCCCTTCAGTATGAGTCTGTACAGGAAAAATTACCACCTTTCACAACAGTCAGCCAGGAAAAGAAATTCAATTTCTTTATTGTCCACCTTGTCTTTTTTTTTTCTTACAAGGAGGGGTGGCTTGAGGTGGGGGATATGGTTCTGCCTCGCCTGCATGAGTGCTCCGGAGGGAAAGGCAAACCAAAAGGCATGCCTTTTTAACAAAAGGTCAGTATGGGCTTTTCTTGCTCCCAGTGGATTCTGCATTTCACTCAGGAATAAAGAAAACAACAACTGCTCCTCTTAGTGTGACTCACCAGGCTTAAAAAGGAGATTAAACTCCGTCCCCCACCCCTCACACTTTGCTTGCTCTTTCCAATAGAGAAGTAATGGTCCTCTCTCCCTGCAGATTGTCTTGAATATACCAAGATGATTATCTATTGTGGGTTTGATGAGGCTATAGATGCATGTATAATGTATGTATAATACATCCTCAATATCCATCCTATACCCGTGTCTCCCTCCATGCTAGGATGAATTTCTGTCTTTAAACAATTAGCTAACAGGGCTGTTTTGTTACTGGTCTGGTGAATATCATGCCACCAGTGAATGTCACTTTTTACCCCTTCAGCTGTCCTATGACTGTGTAGGCAGTCAGAGCTGTGGATCCAAATGCAGGACTCAGATGCAGAATTAAATCAAATCACAGCCAGAGAGCACTAGAACTTGAAATGGAATTACTAATCATGGAGAATATGACATGAGAGAAACACACAGCATGATGGGCGACATGACAAAAGGGAGACTAAGACAATATATAAATGCATGCAGGCATTTAGGGAACAGGAAACGGGTGGCAGCACAGCAGACACTAATCAAAGGAGACAAGAGAAGTTAAGCTGAACATAGCACACTCGGGATGAGGGACTATCAAAATAACACAGGAAACTAACACTGAGACAGACTGAGACATACAAACGTGACACAGAGAGAAAGGCAAACACATAAAGATATGGACTGTGGAAACACAAAGGGGAACAAAAAAGGGGAGGCGTGACTGAAGGAGGTACCATGGTTAACTTAAAAGAAGACGAGAAGACTAGACAGGGGACATAGGGAGACAAGTACGGATGACACGGGAACAGACTGATGAAAGGTTACGAAAGTAAAACAGGAAATCACCAGCACTGAGACTAATAAACTATTTAACAAACACAAACTCTTGGTTACCGGTACAACAGTGCATGTCTGCAGCCGTCTGTAGAACACGGGAGGCCCTGTCCACAAACTCGAATACCCATGTGCCCCATGGTATATTACTGGCCACCATTTGGTGTGGGGAGGGGGAGGGGGCTGCTTCCTTATTTACAAGGGGTGACTAAAGTTGATTTGGCAGATTTTACCTGCCTTACTTTTACTTATCATAAACAATGTGATAGCAAACCCACAGTGGGTAGATGTAGGTGGACTGTGGGGCTGCATGTGTTGACTAAATTCACATATATCCCACACAGGCCCAAAGTGGTTGTGCAAACACAGCAGTTTTGCCCTTTAGAGACCATGTATGGGTTTTCCGTCGGCAAACCTACTATAGATTTCGCACAGAAAACCACAACATGGGCCCCGAGGGGCAAAATGACAGTGGTTTAACCCATAAGGGGGGCAATGAGTGTTTTCTGTAGGCACACCCACGATAGGGAGCCCACAGCAGATTACCCAGATCTTTGCTGGTGGTTGGATCTAAATTTTCACCCAGTAGTATACATATTCTGTGGCACAGCATTGTGATGACATAGTTTAAACAAAAAAAACTTGCTGTTTAATCAATGTAGAAAAGAGCGAAAGCTTTGTGTTTCAGTAATAGCAGCAAGCCAGTCTCCTTATCTTTCCCCACTGCTTCAACAGCAAATCCATATAGTGAGGCTAAGTGAAGTGAAACCAAAGTCAAAGTCACTGAGTGGTAATTGTATATGGAAGCCAATACATAAAACGAGTTATCAACATCCAGTCCTGGCATCTTGTCCAAAACGGATGAGCCCATCATTAAAAGGGAGCCTCTTTGTAAGTGTGAGGCCTCCAGAGATCCCCTGCAGATTGCTTATTTCACGGCCCATGTGTGTGATTTCACCCAGATTCTCGGGAATAGACTGTTTAATGATGAATGCAGCCGGCTTGTGAATCTTCTACTCATGCTGCCCAATCCCTATATCCATTCTCCTTTTAACACAACCCAGAGACAAACACTATTAATAGCTCATGCTGTTAACAGTTAATGATGCTCAAATCAAAAGCAGCAGATCAAAGTTTTTTATGTTATTTTTTTTATTTATTTCAAAAAAAGAAGTAATTCAAAGCTCTCACCTACTTGCAGGTGCGGAGATCATGCCATTTTGGGGGGGAAAGGAATAAAGTAAAAATTTGCTCCGAAGTTATTTTGAGCCCGTCTTTTCCCACGCAGATGAAGAGAGGTTTCATGTGCACGCTCAAACAAACTGCAGTAATTACAGCAATTCATGCTCTGCAACAACACTGACGTGTCCTCAAAATGACACTCGGAGGACCATGAGATTAAATTAAAATCAGGACTGCATAAACAAAGACAGTTTCAACATAATCTAAACTTTTTGGTTATCAAAAAAAGTAAAAGAAATAAGTATGGAGAAACCGGAAAGACTTCCAGGAGAGAGGAGTGAGGCTTGAATGCTAAAGAGCAATGCAGGGTGTTGCGAAAATTGCACATCGCATTGCAAATGGAAGAGTTCTTACTGGGAACTTAGGTGTGCATGTGAATCTTGTGTGAATCCGCACACTGTATGTGGTGGAGAGTGTGTCGAAGTACAACCGTGTATTTTCACTAAAATGTAGTTTTTGTTTCATAGACATTCAGTTCTCCTAATAGGACTCTCAGTCTTTTTACACAAAGGTCACAGTCCTAACATCCCAACATCTGATATGGTTTCCACATTCTTCAGATTTCCTTGTTGGACTTTCAGCTTGTTTTGTCACCGTTGCCGGCCGCCATTGCTTATGATCAACAAACTGTATGTTGCCTTAAATGGAAGTAATGTAGCATTGTGTGTGCACATGTTAGTGTATGTGTCTGTATGTTCACATGTCTTCAAACTGCCATTCAAACCTTCACTGAGGGAAGCCCATTTCTCAAATAACATCAGGTATATTGTTGTAACCCTGTCCATTTAGGAAAGTTAGGGTCATGGCTATCAATCTCTGCCTGGTGTCCCGTCTCCTCAGACCTTTTAGCATCCATTCAACCATCCATCTTCTTCCTGTTATCCAATTCAGGGTCACAGAGGCTGGAGCTTATCCCTACTGTCATAGGGTGTGAGGCTGGGTAGCCCTTGGACAGATCTCCAGGCTGACTCAGAGGGAGACACAACCATTCTCCCATTTACACATTCAGACCAATTATAATCACCAATATGTCTGTGAAGGTTCTCAGTCATCCAGGTCATCGTAGTCAAAGGAGCTTGCAAAGAAAAGCGTCTGGACTTCTTTAAGTTGCTTGAAGACGTTTCATCTCTCATCCGAGAAGCTTCTTCAGTTCTAAGGTCAAATGGTGGGGAGTCCCAGATTTAAATGGGGGAATACTCCCAGATTTAAACGGGGGGACACTCCCACTCGGTTTAAATCTGGGACTCTCCACCATTTGACCTTAGAACTGAAGAAGCTTCTCGGATGAGAGGTGAAAAGTCTTCAAGCAACTTAAAGAAGTCCAGACGCTTTTCTTTGCAAGCTCCTTTGACTATAATCACCAATAAACCCAACAATATGCCTTGGGCAGATACAGGCAAACAACATACAAACTGCTCACAGAAAGGCCCCAGCTGTCCAGCAGATTCAAATCCAGGACCTTCATCTTCTGAGACAACAGTGCCAACTACCACAATGCAGCTGCAGCTGAAAAGAAAGCTGAGTGCAGTCCACTAACCTTTCACATTAAAAGCACATTCAACCCAGTTTTAGCCCGGTCCAGCTTGTACCAGTTACACTTTAGTCAGTCTAAAGTGCTGCACTACTACTGTCACTGGGACTCCGCATCTACTCTAGGAGGTGCACACACAACCCTTAAGAACGGACACCAACGAAACCTGAGAATTGCTGCTAACCATGTCAGTCTCTTTATAAAAGTAGCAAACCGATCTTCTGATGGTTGCTTCAAGCAGGAAAACTCACCATGTCACAAACTGACAAAAAGTTCCCTGCACTCAAATGATCTCCACAGTCACAGATCTCAATCCAGCTGGATATTTGCAAGGTGCACTGAATAAAGTGGCCGGTGGGTGAAGATGTATGATTCAGTATGCCTTTCTATTAAAAGATATGTTGTTACACCAAATTCAGCATTTTGAAGTGTTACACAAACATCCTCTTTTAAATTCATCTCAAAGTCCTTTATTTTTTCATTAAAGGAAATTAGTGTGTTGAACATCTGGATTTTCAAACTATTTCCTTACAGTTTCCAGATTTTTAATTTTTTTTAAAATAATAACAGCAAATTTAAAAAAACAACAGAACAACAATATGGCCTAGACTCAAAAGGTAGAACACTTTTTTTTTTTAAAAAAAAGGAAAAAACAAATCAGGAATAAAGATTTTTTTTCTAAACCACCTTTAGGAAATGTCCCTTTGCCTCCTCAACAACATTAAAATTGAATTTTACTCTGTTGGTTCCTGGCCTTGATCTTCACCTGCCTGACCCTTTCTCTAGTCCTTTTGCCACGCTGAGTGAAATGGTTGCCAGCTGTGTTTCAAATGCAATGTCTCCCATGTAAAAAGTAAATTCAGTTTTGCAGTCGAATCATTAACTTTGGAAACTTTCATTTTTCTGATATTTAAGTGTGATAAAATCCTTGCACGATGTGGACTAGAAATCATTCAACCACACGATTTCATGCAGGCAGCAATGGCATTTAATTGAAGATGCATTTAGAAAATAAAGAGCGTGTAAATGTACATGCTGACATAGAAATTACTATAAAAATATGCAGCATGTACTTGATGATACAGGCTCGCCTATATAGCACGTAGTCATTTTTAACTGTTGGTGATTTGATTCCTCTTCTTATCGGCGCAAAATTGCATGCAGTTATATTTTACTTTTCCATCTCCAGCTGTTAAAACTGTCACAGCCTTTGTGTTTGTATGTGTGCGTTACTGTTAAAGTTAGACAAAAACACAGTGTTTGTCAGATCAGAGAATGAGCGTGA